AAAATTGATTTAAATGCACAATACTTTATTTTAATTGTGACTTTAAAAATCTATTTTAACTGTTGGACTGTAGTTGCAATCATTTTATTTTTATTTTTTGCTTTGTCACTGGGTTTGTATTCTTTTTTCATTTTACTGTTTGAATGTGGCGGTATATATTTTACCTTTTAACTATGTTTCTAATTATGTATTCTTTCAAAATTTAACTGTATTGTACTCATTTTTATTTTTTATTTTGACTGTGATTGTAATAAGTTTTGTTGTTGCTTTTTGACTTTTTTTTTCTAATAAAAATCGACATGTTCTACATTTAATATATTTTGCTATAATTTAATGATATTAGCTCTGCACATTTATTGTTATTTCAAGTGAAACTGTTGGGTGTGATGATAAAAAAAATGTTTAAAACAAATTCCTTTTAAATTTTGTTGAAAGAAACAAGTGATTATTAAAATCCCCACTGGAAGGCCTCTGACAGACTGAGTGAGCGTAAAATTATTGTTATCGAAAGCCGAATACAAACAAGTTAAAGGTAAATGATTCAGTGTTATTAAAAACATAACTATTACGGTTGTCCACACTGTTCTGGGATTACCTCTATTAAGGTTACAATGTAACACCGGAATGTTTTGATATACTAGATCTATTTTCAAACAGTTTACCACCATTTAAAAATTGATGAAAGTCTTAGCAAATTATACATGCTAAGAAATGGTTCAAAACTATAATCTTAAAACATTATCATTGCTCTTGGTTGAGTATTTTAAAAATATTTGGGGAAAAAATGAATAAAAGTGACATTCATTATATAAGAAAATAATTTTATTTGAAGTAAAGTGGTGAATTGTTTTTTTTTTTAAATATTGTTGAATTTGGGTTGCTGTCTTATTGACCTTTTTGGATCCTACATTGTATAGAAATTACTTAAATCGATTAATCAGCATTCGTCCATGTATCATTTACTTCTTCATAACAATATTGTATTTCAACGCTCTAACATTTTGAGTGTCTCTGAGAACAGGTAATGCAATTATATAATTCTTTCGAACATTTTTTTGTTTTTAAAATTAGAAATGTTAAGTGGACATATCCCTCGAACGCACCGATCATTTTTATTCTGTCTGTGCAAAGGGTGGGACGCCTTTTTAAAAGAATTATTTGCTTGCGAAACAATTTTTTTTTATTAAAGTTTATAGTTGTGTGACCCGAAAATCCCCTTCTCCAAAATAGAATAAAAAAAATCCATACCTAATTATCTTCAGCTACACTTGTTTATTTATACTATTTGATGCCAAAATGTCAGGTAAATTCATGTGATTTTAAGATAAATTGCCACGTGTTCATGTACATCTGACCAGTTCCTTGGTATTTTTTTGTTACTCACAGTCACGTTATTTGCTTCATAATTAATAGAATTTCAACAAATGATCTAACTATATTTAAGGCTAGAAATGTTTCCAATGAACTAAGTGCTCCAAATATTCTAATTAAGATTTTATATTTTAGGTCTAAGTCTGATAGTTTGTTGGACGAAATTTCTTCCAACTTTCTAACAGCTACATGTTTTTCATTTTAGATCTACATGTAGGTTTCATAGAAGAATTTTTTTCCAATTTACTAACTGCCACAAGTATTTCATTTTATTTCTATGTTTGATAGAAGAAATTTCTTCAAATTGACTTACTGCTTCAAATAATTCATTGAAGGTTTTATAGACGAAATTTCTCATGACTTACTACCAAATGCAACAAATATTACATTTTAGGTCAGGTTTGATAAAGAAATTTCTTCCAACCAACTAACAGCTACATGTGTTTCATTTTAGATCTAAATGTAGGTTTGATAGAAGAAATTTCTTCCAACGAACTAACGGCTAAGATTTAATATTTCATTTTAGGTTTTAATCTGATAGGGTTCATAGAAGAAATTTCTTCCAACGAGCGATTAGCTCGAAGTAATTCATATTAAGTTTGATAGAAGAAAATTTCTTCCAACAAACTAACTGCCATAGTATTATATTTTAGGCATACGTCTGATAAGAGAAATTTCTTCCAATGAACTTACTGTTCCAAAAATTTTATTTTGTATCGAATAATAGAAATTTCTTCCATTAAACTGATCTCTCTATGTACTTTTTCTAAGGTCTGAGAGTCGTAGAATATTTTCATAGTTTTACGCAAGTTTCTAATTTTGTTGTTTCTTACAGGGAAGAAATTTTTTCTAACCATTGAAGTTTTCAAAACCCGTTTGCAAAAATTATAAAACAGTTGATGCATTTGGTATTTTTTAATAAATTAACGAATTTTGCATATTACAGTCCGCAAAGAGGACATTCCTGGATTTTCCTCTTTTATTTTGGACTGCATTATTATTATGTGATATCATTTATTTCAAGTTTGATGGGAGAGTTGCTCTCAACATAATCACATATCTTTGAACTATTTAGTGAGAGGACATCATCTATATAGCGGAACGTGAATAAAAGGAAAAGGCTAGCTTCTTTATGTTCCTCCTAAAAAAGAAAGCTCCTGTATGAAATGTATCGCATGATTTTAGGAATAAGTTGACAAGAAGAGGGACACCGTTGGTTCTCACGGGAATGTGATTTTTTTTTTGGAGGGGGGATACGGCCTCCAAAAGAAAGAAATATGTCATATTATTACGTTGATTCTATGAACACTTATGTAATTTTGTTATCAGTACGGTGAAGGAACATCCGATACCTATATTATGGCATTGCACAAGGTCATGTTTTTCTCTGACTGTTAATGACGTCTTTGCGCTAAATCCATTGGATGTTGAATGTGTACTGATTGATAATTTAGTCTTAGATACATGATTTTTTATTAGTTGTTATTGGCTTTGAACTACCTGTCAGTAACTGCGAGTACTCTCAGATCTGTGCTTAGTGTCTTTTTTGTTGTTAGGGATGATGGATGGATATATTACCATGCCACGTCAAGTCTGTGTGTTTGTTTGATGTTTTCTGCTTTGTATCGATCTCCTGAGTTAAGCCTTCTTCAACTAGTTTGTATAGTTTGTTCTTATGTTGTGCTGTTACACCACTGTCACAGGTTCGGGGAGGGTTGAGCGCTCAAAAACATGTTTAATCCCGCCACATTCTTTATGTGCCTGTCCCAAGCCATGAGCCTGTAGTTCAGTGGTTGTCGTTGGTTCATGTCTGTCATATTTGTTTTCCTCAGTTGAATTGTTATAAATTAGGCCGTTAGTTTTCTCAATTGAATTGTTTCATATTTTCCATGTCGGGGCCTTTGAAAGCCGACTGTATGGTATGGGTTTTTCTCATTGCTGAAGGCCGTGCGGTTGCCTATACATTTTGTAATTGCTTACATTCACTTTATTTGAACTTTGGTGGATAGTTGTCTCATTGGCAATCATACCACATCACCTTATTCATATATCCAGTTCTTTATCTTTGGTTGAATTCCAAAGGAGCATAGCGATGGCGACGTAGTTCAAAGTACGAAAGGTACGCAGTGAAACTATGTAACAATGGAACAATGCAAATATTTATCAGAAATGTGAAAAATGCCAAAAGAGGAAATAATCTTTAGGTCTTGATGTTTAAAGTGACCGACAAGATAATTTTATATACTATCATAAATCATTTGGAGTCCAACTTCGCGCCGAAGCCGAGGGCAATAGTTAGTATCAAAGGGACAACAAATTTTCATTACACTCATAACCAGTCATTAAGTGTTTTATTATACCGAAAAAAAAACAACTTTCTAAAAAGTTAACATACACCAAGTGGGATAAAAAACCAAATAGTCACTTTAACATGCTCAAGAAGAACTGTTTTGTTCCTTTTGCCCGTGTGGTATTTGTGAACATTTTATTTACTGTAATAAAGACCAGGAATCCTGGGGTAATAATTCCTGTGCATATAATAAACGCTAGCTAAAATATATTACCGTACACCAAAGCAATCATAGATTATGAAGACGACGACAGTCACATACCATACATTTTTATGTTTTAGTTCTGAAAATATGTCGCACAGTTATAATTGCTTCTGGGTAGTAAAATATTAATTTGAAATTACAACGACAGACACATACAGATTATATCGTTTACAATATTTCAGAGTTAAACGCGTTGGCCAGGCGCTCAAATTCAAGCAGAATAGTCAATGACGTCATTGTTGTCCAATGAAAAATAAGTATGTAAAAAATCCGGGAAATATGTTGATAAAACTATAAACCTGGGTAATAGCCTTTGAAACTTTTGACTGGCAAATAGTCTGTGGAATGCAATAGCACATATATTCCATTCTGTTTTGTATAGAAAAAAAACATACCGAGGTATAATATTTCAACCTATTTGAAGATCGCATCATTCAACCAATACGTACTGGTATGGGAAGAACTTTACATAACGGTGAAGACAGTTCAACTTATTTGAATAAAGAGAGAGAACATACCAAGGGTACAATCAGAAATTATCATAAGTCCAATAAAAACGACGAAAAACAATCAACAATTAGCATAAGTCCAATAAAAACGACGAAAAACAATCAACAATTAGCATAAGTCCAGTAAAAACGACGAAAAACAATCAACAATTAGCATAAGTCCAATAAAAACGACGAAAAATAATCAACAGTTACAAAAACATTACACAGAAGACTAGATTAATTATCTCGGCCCCACCAAACAACTCGGCCCCACCAAACAACTCGGCCCAACCAAACAACCGGTGGTGAACTAAGATGAGTCGGAAGTGTAATACACGTGGCACCTATTGTGTTGGTCAAGTTAGTACAAACCCGGTGATGTTATGTTTCATGCTAGCAAATTGTAGCAATCCTAATTGGTTTCGTGCTAAAAAAAAACTGGATCTCTTTTCAGGGTCATTGCGGGGATCTGTCCATTTACCTATATACCCCACATATCCTTTATTCATATTTCTTTATTCATATTAAGCGCTAATAAGCCTTCTGGGAATTTTTCAAAAACATTGTATAAATAACTCTACTGTTTTGTCAATATGTGCTTTATTCATGTTATTCGTCGACTGCTTTACTATTTCTTTTTATATCAAATCTTTCATCTAAAAAAAAGAAATAAACAGTTTAGTAATTTAACAGTATACATGCATACATTTGTTAAATATTCATGTACAATTTGACAAATAAAAGATTTTAGTTTCTCTGTCTATACATCTCATGAATAGTGTACTCTGCAATTTTATTCAAATAAAAGTGATGAACTGTCACGCACTGTACGTCATATAAAATGATACAGTTTCGTCAATTTCACTGTTAATATAGATCTGATGGCATGCAGCATAAAATATAGTTCATGCATTGTCATAATGAATATAAAAAAAACGTTTATTTTCTTAATCTAAAAATATTTGCACATGTGAAATTATAAAAAAAAAATCAAATATATATAGCATCTTTTTTTCTTGGCATTTCATTTCATCAAATTAGATAAGGAATTAATAAGAAACGCTACTAAAATTAATTGAAATGGAAAGATTTGTTCAATATATAATACAATCAAAGATAGAGTACACACCTAACATCTTTCTTGCACACAAAAGGATGTGTTTGTGTGCCGCATGGGTAGTCGTGCCATTTAGCATCGGCTGTATGGAACATGGCACAATTTTCCCCGACATTTCCTGGCTCGCCAGATGCCCAGTGGAAATACGTAGTCGGAGCATAATCAACTGCATTAATCCAATGTTTTAAGTCTCCATCCGTAATACCAAGCCAAAAGTTTTTCACGACTGAAGAATAACAATTCGAAATTCGAAATTCATATTTAAGAGTTCAATTATAATATATAAGTCTCCTTACTGTCTTCTCTCCCTTTCCAGAAAAGATAAACTTCACTATACAATACTTTATTTTAACTGTGACTTCAAATACTATTTTTGTCTTTTGCAGACTGTATTGAGTTTTTTTTTTTCTATTTGTGTCTGTGTCTATTTTTTTTTACTTTAGCTGTAATAATTAATTATTTTGTTTTGCTTTATGACTGTACATATAGTTGTAATCAGCTATGTTTAACCGTTGGACTGTAACACAGTAGTTACAATCAGTTTTTTGTTGTTGTTTTTTTTTTTTTTTTTTTTTTTTCCACTGCTATTCTATTCTTTTTTGTTTCATTGTTTGAATGTGACTGTAGTCAGCTATAATAGTTCGCATTTAATCTGCGTCTCTAACTATTTATTCTTTCAAAATATAACTGTGCTGTACTCATTTATATTTTTTATTTTGACTGTGATTGTAATAATTTATGTTTTTGCTTTGACCCTAGCTATTACTTTTCTTTAATTTTTACCTTTGAACTGTGACTGTAACCATTTATTTTCGTCTACATCATTTACGTTAACCAAAGACGAGTCTTCTTTCTTACAAAATCTCTAAAGATAAGAAAATAGATAAATTTTATGCAACTGCACAACAATCAGTGAATCTTAACTTATATAAAATAAGGAAATGTGGTATGACTGCCAATAATACAATTATCTATCAGAGTCCAAATTACTTGGATTAACTCAATCATAATTCACTGTACATTGTTTAACATTAAAAATAATTCAAAATCCTATGCATAACATGTGCAATTCTACAAATAATGTATAACAAGAAACTACGGAACTAAAATATTAAGGATCCAAAATCATACAACCAAAGTTGTAACGATCTAACAGGGCGATATCTAACAGCACGACTTTGAACAAGAGTAATTTATGGGGGAGACATTCCTTAATTTTGAAACGAATAACCAACATCGAAGTTCAACAATATACACACTATTCGCATTATCAAGCCATTAAATAGATATGACCAAAAACTCGACTCAAATCAAACTCTTTTTATAAGACATATTGTGACATAAACATTTAATTTATTTTTCCGTTCCCTGAAGTACACGCATTACTTGAAAGATAAAAAAAAAATATTGCATGAATTGTGATAACTTTATGCAATATTCATGAAATATTAAGTTTAAAGGCATCCAAAATAAATATATGAAACAATATTAATATATCATTACTGTTTTCTGACCAATTCTTGCCTTATGAACATCTGTAGAGAGTTATATATGTAATCCTGATACTCCATTGTAATTTTAAAATCAAAGTGCCCAAAAAGGCCCTTGTCATACTTAGTTTTAAATCCTTTTGCATCTCACCCAGGAGAAATCCTGCTTATGAATAAATATCCCTCAAAATGTAAATAGACTTTAAGATTCTCGAAAATCATACCTCTGATTCAAACCATGTTTTCTTGTCTTTAACAAGATAATAACAATGGTCCCGGAAAGACTTCCAACCTTTTTTGCATCCACCATTCAAAACAGTATATTTCGCTATATATGAAAAATAAAGCAAGACGTTGTTTTTCAATTTGCCGTTTTTATCTTACTTTTTTTTATGTAATACCATACTTTATTTCTTTTCAGAGATGACCTTTAAACATGCCATTATTTTTTTTAAATTTGGCTTTTAATGTTAAAAAGAATATTTCTTTTACATATGCATGTACGTGATAGACTCATTTGATCATATGAAATATTCTGAACGACTGAGTAGTATGATAGTAGATAAAGGCAACAGTAGTATACTGCTGTTCATCATGTTCAATAGGCTATGGGAAAGTTCTAACCAATACTATCCTGAACGACTTTGTCAAGTTTTTTAAGCTTGACAATGACAAGAATGAAAGTTTTGAATTATGAAGTTAACTCGTTTAGATTATACCTCATATGTGTCAAATGAAATAATCAATTGTTTTATAGTTTGTATTAATGCTGTCTGTGGATCTTTTATAACGTATATCCTAGTTTTATGATTACTTGGAAGATGATATAACGATTCAACAAATACTATTCTAGGATTTACAAATTTACAATGCTTTAAAAGTATCAATTAGATAAAGATCAATTTGGTTTAAAACATATTAGTCGCCTGCCTTGGCTTAGCATAATTAAAAATTTACTCTAAGCTCATTTTGTAGAAAATATAGAGTTAAAAACTTTTTAAGAAAAATGTGTAATTGAATTTATAACGAAAGATTGCTGATGTTTAAAATATCTAATTTTAATTTCACTATAAAAAAAACCCTCGTATAAAACGTTAGCCTACATTTAAAATAGCAAAAGATCTTGGGTAGTACTCACCTTTAAGGCCAGTTTTCAAAGTGTCGACAGATTTCGTGAAAGCCAGGATATGATTTTGAAGTTGTTCAATGTTTTTACGTTCTTCATTTGTGTAACACGAATCTAGAGCATTACCCGCTATTACAAACACCAACAAAATAAACAGCTTCATTCTTACAAAAAATAAATAGAATAATTATATTAAGTCGTTGGCTGCTGCCTGTCATATTTGTTTTTCATTTATTGTTTCCGTTAAATTATAATGTTGGTTTTCTCGTTTGAATTGTTTCAATGTTGCCATGCCAGATAGCTGGTCAACGGAATGGGTTTTGCTAATTGTTGAATGCCGTACAGCGACCTATAGTTGCTTTCATCCACACCCTTTTCAATTTCAGGTGGGTAGTTGTTAAATTGGTAATCATACCACATTTTTTTTTTCAATCTGAACAAAATTAAATTCAATCTCAATATGTTAACATTTTGCTCTGAATTTTATTTTTACAAACGACTCATCAGTGGCGCTCGTATCAAAACAGTTGGACGGCAAAAATCAAATAAAATGACAGAAAATTCCGTAAAGTTGTGCTAAATACGACTAAGACAATCTAAACCTGCGGGGAGACAAATCTTAGTGTTAAACCCTTAGTGATAAACCAGTTTCATTCTTTGCGTGGCTTAGTGAATCGTTGGTGATTAATTAACCAATGTGTGAGCATTGATCAACTAAACATGATCAAATTTTAAAAAAAAATGTTCACCGCTGAAACAATGTTTGCACAAAAATATATACATTCTATAAATCTAATTGAATGAAAACAACTTATTTGGTTAATTTCGTTCAGCAATTTTCCTCACCCGCAATTTTTGGACCATACAACATAAGATCATTTCGACTGTTTTCGCATTTCGCAAGAAGAGTAAAGGCCTTCTTTCGCAAACGGCGCTGGGCATTTCAAATACTTCGTTTTAATGCAATTTTAGGTTGATGTCAAATACAATGTTCTAAAGAGTGTTCATATTGAGTTTCTATACGGCAATAACAATTTTGATAATAATAAATTAATATTAAAACTTACCTTATTCTACTAAAGTTGTTTGTATTTTTTCTGTGAAAGGTATTAGTGCTTACATCTACTGTACACAGTTTATCTGCACATGCCGCAGTCATTAAAAAGAAATTTGATTTTACCGTAATCTGAGACAAAAGGTGTTATGTTTTAAAATGTTATTTCCGTGTAAAAAAAAGGTACAACACATATCGATATTGGTAATTTATTTCTTTATTGGAAATTCCAAAACCAAATTACATTTAAAAAAAAACAATTGCAGCACACCAGGTACTGAATAAAAATTAAATGCTTACTCCTCTGCTCAGTCTTTAGTTTTCTATGTTGTCTTATGTGTACTGTTGTTTGTATGTTTGTCTTTTTCAATTTTAGTTTATTTTCGACTTATGAGTTTGATTCTCCCATTGGTATCTTTCGTCTCTCTTTTAATTTTAGTTTTTTTGTAAGGTTTCCGTTCCTCTTTATTTGTTTCTGTGTTCGTGTTGCAAAGGCTTTGTTTTTTTCTATGTTGTGTTTTTTCGACTGTGTATTCTTTATTGCTCATTGAAAGCTTCTTGTGTGTGCGTCCTTTTTCTTTAAGGTTTGTGTGTTGGTGGTTAGTATTGTTGTACTGTCCAGTATTTTCGGTGATTCATGTTATCCTGTCTTATGAATAATTGAGATTATTATATATCAATAAAGTATTATAAAGTTGGTATGTTTATTAACTTTAATCAAAGTGCGACATGCAGCTCGATCTATGTACAACTAAAGACAAATACATGTATACGCTATTGAATGAAATATACAGATATTAGTGTGAGTGTCAACGCCACTACACACGCAAATTACATGTGTACAACTGATATTCTTCAAATGAGTTTCTATTGTTGATATGTTATTGGAAGAATTTAAATCGCAAGATATATTTAGTTGAATGAACATGAGTATAAAGTGCAATGATAAATTATATTTCCTACTGTTTTGAAAAGTGTAGAAAAGAGAAATGGTTCTGAGGTACAAAGTTAGTCCATTGCTGACTATCAAAAGTTAATGGCAGAAAACGATTTTTACAATTTTAACTGGCGATATAAAACTTTGCAATGTGTCAATATGTGATAATAACTGAGATATAAAAAAGCAAACATCAACACTGAGGTTCTTAAATGCACATAAACATTCAGCCGGGTAAAACTTAGTTTTTTTGTTTAGTTTTTATTTTTGTTGTTGTGTTTTAAATCTTGCCCACCCTCTTTCCATCTTGAAAACAAAAAGAATATAAAAGAACTAAAAAAAATCAGTACAAAAAAATGTTACTGAAAAATGCAGGTATTAAAATATATATCACTTTTAAACAATATTATAAGCAAGTCTGTCCTTTATTTTTAGTAGGATTTCACAGCTTAAAGGATGGTAACATAGTAAGACGTTGTATAACAAAATTCGTGTTGATCGCGACAAGATGTAACAACGAGTGATCATATAAAGAAGTTACATTCAGTGATGTCAAAAACCACGAATGGAGGACGAGATTCTGGCAGCTACAAATAGAATATGTCATTTGTTTATTATGTTTAAATAAACGAATCTTATTGATATAAAAATAAGGAGATGTGTGTGGTTTGCTTGTCAATTAGACAACTATCCACCAGAGACCAAAGCGTGCGGAAGTAAACAATAATAGGTCACCGTACGGCCTACAGTAATGATCAAACCAAAACCGTGCAGTAAGCTATAAAAGGCCGCGACAAATTCAAAAGAAAAAACAAAGATTATTTTGTAATGTCTTCTTCTTTCATAATGTATATTTTCCAATAATATTGTTAGGTAAGATTCGGTATTCAATAACTGTGTTTCCAAATGACTGATTGATCTCAATGTGTAGCTCGTAGTCCCCTGAACAGATTTTGAAATTAATAACAAGAAGTATATATTAAAATATAGATGTGTAGTAGTACGAATTTATAGGTTTGTTGTCAATCTGGTTTTCTGTTTGTACGTTGCTTGATTTTTGTTCTTATTGTTGACGTTTAAAATTATTCTGTTTATAATTTTGAGATAAAGACTTCCACCTGACTGACAAGCAATACACCTTATTCTTATAATAATGTAAACGTGTGTATAATCTCGTGTTCCTAATCAGAACAGGACTAGAAGGATCTTTCAAGCTAAAGGTTGTTAATGACCAATGAAACCGTTTCTTCCTTTTGTAGTTCAAATGTATTTCACGAGTACATTTTATCGTCTACACTTCTGATTTACAGTGGACCATCTTTTGACCAAAGCAGGTCCAGGTTTTAAATTGTTTGAAGTAATTGTTGTACATTTTAAAACTGTTCAATCATTCACACACGAATAGTTGTGGTTTTGTATTAGATTTTGAAACATTTACATCATTATGGTAATGTATGTATATACTAGTTTTTACTGTCGTATTATTTCTGTATTTTTCTTATTGTAATAAATCTAATCCAACACGGTTATTAGAAAGAACGACTGAAATCGACGCTACGTAAGTTTTACGATCACCATCACGAATATGTTAACCATTGTTAACTGATACGATATGTTAGTCTTTAAACTCTCTGGTGACATGTTTTTGAGGTCTTAGATCTTTGGATACTAGAACAGTCTTATCCATAAATTTACCGATTATGTCTCAACTCTGGATGTGACATTTTAACATAATGTGATAATCAATGGCGGTTGTTGCATGTATACCAGGGACGTTTACCCTGTCAATGCACCCTGTCTTGCCTCTTTTGGAGATTATGCGATTCTCTAAGGTTTGTTTTACCTCGACTTATATTTTCTAAATGAATTTATGAAATTTGATTAACAGTAAACAGTTGTAGCCTCTAATTCATGACCCATTCATGACTTTATCTCGTACGGAAATAAAAAGCAGAGAGTCAGGATTTTTCACGACAGCAAATCAGGGTGTCCAAAATTCCAGCTTAATTTTTAGAAACCGTTGTGACAAAATTGCTTTATGATTACATTCAATTAGAGATAATTTCTAAGATTTCAGACGATACTAAAATGCTGCAATTATCTTAAATGAGGGTCTTGATGGGCTTTTCAGAATATTGAATAATAGGTTAAATAAATCGACCAAAAGAATGTTTGAAGTATAGTGTAGAATAGGGTAAAAATATAAAGAATAGAGAATAATGGGGTGCTAAAATATAAAGAATAGAGAATAATGTGCAAAATATATAAAGAATAGAGAATAATACATTGTATGCAAAATAAATAAAGAATAGAGAAAAATGGCTTAGAAATTTAAAGATTACAGAATTGAAGACCCCCCCCCCCCCCAACCAACCAACCAACCAACCAACCAATCCAGACCCTTGTAATTGAAGGATTCGCTATAGAACCACAAAGAATTCAAACACTTGGCTCAAACTGAAAGAGATATAGTTTACAATGTGAAGATAGTTCTCGCATAAGCATCTTACAAGCACAAAACTTTTTTTTTCGTTCATTTTTTTCGTCACAATCATTCTTAGATGTTTTAAAAGACGTATACATGCAGTTGTGAATAACAGTTGCGTAACCTGCACATGCTGCAATAATAATCCTTTTTTTATATTTTTGTTATCAATTATTTCCGACAATTAACATATTGGCAGTAAAATTGCTTCTTTTGTCCAGTCTGGCGGGAAAACTTAAATATACAAGATATCGGTAGATTTGTTTTTTTCCAAACCCAGAGATATCTTCTGACCTGGCGTGTTCTATTTACATGTTGTTTTTGTAGAAATATTTTGTTTTTGCTACATGCAAATGTCTTTCTGTTTACTGGATAAAGCCCCTCTAACTTTGATTTAAGATTGTGTTTGACGGCTATGGGTAAATTCCTACTAACTCCGAAGTCGGAGAAACGATTTTGTAACAAAAACGAATAAAGAATATGCGTTTGATTTTCTTAACTTACTTCTCACTATTTTTCTGTTTGTTTCATCAGATTTTTAAAGATCAGATTGCCAAGACTGAATCTTACTTTTCTTACAAATCTATCTAAATTGACATCTTCATAACAGTAAGATGTTCCACTTACAGATAACTGAACATTTTATTTTTATTATTTTTTTTTGCTGCAGAGGATATCTCCATGGTATAATCTAGCGATGGCCTTTGACCTTCATCGGGAACACTCAAACTAAAATTTGTAAAGGAAATGATGTTCAAAATACTTAAACATGTGAAGAGCTCTATAACCAAAAGGATAGCCACATCTATCTAAGGTCAATTTTGTCCGAGAGAGTTAGGACTTTAGCTTTTAAATAATTTCTTAATTTATTTATTTTAAGTATTTATCTAAAGTGTCCCTTATACTCGCGCTTGGTTGGGTTACAATCTAGTCAAACATTATAGTAAAAGAGAGGCTAAAGATACCAAAGGGACATTCAAACTCATAAGTCTATGACAAACTGACAACCCCATGGCAAAAAAAGAAAAAACGACCAAAAGACAAACTACAGTATACAAAACACAACAATGATAACTAGAGACTGAGCAACGCAAACTCCACCAAAACCTTGAGGGTGAACTCTGGATTTTCGGAAGGGTTTGCAGATCATGTTCCACATGTAACTCTCCACTGTGGAGGTTTTCCTTGTTTGTGATTTGCCTACTGTTAAGTACACAATTATAATTCTGTCATTTTTCAGAGGATTATGTTCGGCTATATTGTTTTGATTCTACTTTTATCAGAAGGTAAGAAAAAATAAATAAACTATCATATTCTCTTGTCTATTTATAATGTTTAGTACTGTGGATTAAAATCAGTTTCCCCTCCCCCTTACGTTAGGCGGTAGGTAAGTTTGGAAAAAAGTGCCTTCCGTATAAAGTCAAGTTCTCGACACAAAAACCACATTCATCTATAACCCTTAAAAATAATTTCTGTTTGCAAGCATGTAAGTTTTGATATAAGGGGGGGGGGGATTATACGGTAAATGTCTGTACTTGACATTACGCCTGGCGTATTCATCGAAATTATAGGACTTGTATCTGTAATGAGATTTTTACTTACTACAACAATAACAAAGAAGCAAGTAAAACAATACGCAAAGATAGCATTGTTAAAGAGAGGCGAGAGATATCAAAGGGACATTCAAACTTATAAGTCGAAAATAAACAGACAACGCCATGGCATACATAGAAAAAGATCAAAGACAAACAACAGTACACAACACACAACATAGAAAACTAAAGACTGAGCAACACGAACCAATAAAAACCAGGGATGATCTAAGGTGCTCCGGAAGAGTAAGCATATCATGCTCCTCATGTGGCACCCGTCGTGTTGCTCATGTAAGTACAAACTCGGTGATAAGTCTAATTCGGTCTGCCACATTCGGAGAAAAGAATACATTTGAATAAAGCAAACTAAAAAAATGTACTTATTTTGAAATCAATATCGGCCGATGCGCTTATTCGAAACACCCAGCGCAGTGAAATCGACCAGTTGGTTAAAAAAAAACTCATCAAAAGATAAACATCAGGGTTATAATTCGGCACCCAGACTCGCTTTCGACACAATAATTATCAGGGGCGCACGTATCATTACAGTTGGAAAGCCAAATCAAATTCTAAGTTGAAGAGCATTAATAAAACAAGTTGTGCGAAATCTTATGGCTACATCATAAATAATATTTGCAAATTTTAGAATTTGTAGTTTTGATGCAGTTTTGATAAAGTAAAGTTATAGTATTTCTTATTCAAATGTTTATAAATCACCTATAATTTTTATCAGAATGAAGAAACCATGTCTTTTGTTTTCTATTAAACAAGTGATTACAGCTTTCTTGTAAAAACCTGCATGATGGCTAGGTATGCTAAGTATTTATATATATATGTGACATTTTCATTTGGTACTTAAGTATTTATTTTTCTGAATTTGCTCTACAAATTTCTGTACTTAAACACATAAATATTTTTTCAGCCACTGCAAGTTATAAAAGAGTATGCTACTTTACAAACTGGGCCCAGTATCGTAATGGAATCGGAAAGTACAAGGCCAACAATGTAGATCCGTTTCTATGCACGCACGTGGTCTATGCCTTCGCCAAGGTCGAATCCAATAACATCAAACCATATGAATGGAATGATCTTAGTTCATGGAGTAAGTTTATAAGTGCATAGAGTAGGTTCATATGTGCATAGGGTAGGTTCATATGTGCATAGGGTAGGTTCAATTGTGCATAGGGTAAAATTCATTCATGCATGGTTAGATTAAGGTGTAAGTATTTGGTTACCGATAAGTGTTCTCTATACATTTTCGTTTGTATTCCATTAAGGATGTATTCTTCTGACGTTTGAGTCTCGTTGAAATCTCGTTCTGGAATTATTACCAAAACATGTAATACAAGTGGAAAATATCAATGAATTCAAAAAATGTTATAATCAAACTTGACTCAGTCAAAAAATTGTGTATTTACATTATGTAGTTTTTGAGTAATAAAATTTTCAAATTCTATTACCAATCAAGTCAGTCTTTTTAGCCACAATTTTGAGAAAATGTATGAGGGGTACAGGAAATGATTTTACCAAAAAACATGTACATCCCATATCACTTTTTTCTTTTCAAATTTCTTAGATATCTATTTTTTCAATCATTTATAACAAAGAAGTTGAAATAATATGCACTTTGTTCTTAAAATACAGAAAATTCACAAATTTACAAAATTGACAGCATGGTAAATTTGACACAAAAAAGCATCAAAATATGATAAAACTTTCTTATATTAACACCTACCTATAGTTTTTTTAAGTTAAATTTATTCAGATTGGTCCACTTCATCTATATTGAAAGTATGAAAAAAAGTTTAGTTGTGGAACTGTGTTTTTTTTTCTTCACGATAATAGCCCAAAAATTGGTAAAAATTGATGAAAAATAGGAAAATCATCAAAATTGGGTACTTTCAAAGGGCCGTAGCAAAAAAAGAAGTGCACCACCATATGATTTTTTCTTCACCAATTAATTTTTAACAGTCATATAAATCCAAAAATCAAAAAAGTTTAATTCTAGAAATTTTTGGCTCCTCAGAGGTGTACATTCTTAACTAGCTATTTATCATAATATTAACCATGAAAATTAATTGCGCATCCCCTACATTGATTCTGATTTTAGTTTGAGTTTTTTTTTTACTGACTGAAGCATGAACTTTGTAAGTGGTTGGGGTATCGTTTTGTGAGATTTTCTCGCAGAACCTATTGTTCTATAATTTTTGACGATACAATGTACATTTATTACTTGATTTTGGCATGATTATATAGAAGATTTGTATTTGATTTCGTAAAAGGTATTGATTTAATTATACTGGTGTAGCAGTAATTCTATGCTAACATGGTTATCTTATGACACTAGTATTGATATTGTGGCAGTCATTCTTTGATAACATGGTTATCTTATGACACTAGTATTGATATTGTGGCAGTCATTCTTTGGTAACATGGTTATCTTATGACACCAGTATTGATATTGTGGCAGTCATTCTTTGATAACATGGTTATATTATGACACCAGTATTGATGTTGTGGCAGTCATTCTTTGATAACATGATTATATTATGACACCAGTATTGATGTTGTGGAAGTAATTCTTTGATAACATGGTTATTTAATGACACCAGTATTGATTTTGTGGCAGGGATTCTTTGATAACATGGTTGTTTTATGACACCAGTATTGATATTGTGGCAGTAATTCTTTGATAACATGGTTGTTTCATGACACCAGTATTGACTTTGTGGCAGGGATTCTTTGATAATGTGGTTATTTCATGACACCAGTGTTGATTTTGTGGCAGTAACTCTTTGATAACATGGTTATTTTATGACACCAGTATTGATGTTGTGGAGTAACACTTTGATAACATGGTCTATTTTATGACACCAGTATATTGATGTTGTGGCAGTGATTCTTCGCGATCGATAACATGGTTATATTATGACACCAGTATATTGATGTTGTGGCAGTAATTTCTTGATAACATGGTTATTCTATGACACCACTATTGATGTTGTGGCAGTAACTCTTTGATAACATGGTTGTTTTATGACAGCAGTTTTGATGTTGTGGCAGTAACTCTTTGATAACATGGTTGTTTTTATGACACCAGTATTGATGTTGTGGCAGTAACTCTTTGATAACATGGTTGTTTGAAGACAGCAGTATTGATGTTGTGGCAGTAACTCTTTGATATCATGGTTGTTTTATGACACCAGTATTGACGTTGTGGCAGTAGCTCTTTGATAACATGGTTGTTTTATGACAGCAGTTTTAATGTTGTGGCAGTAACTCTTTGATAACATCGTTGTTTTATGACACCAGTATTGATGTTGTGGCAGTAATTCTTCGATAACATGGTTGTTTTATGACAGCAGTATTGATGTTGTGGAAGTAATTCGTTGATAACATGGTTATATTATGACACCAGTATTGATGTTGTGGCAGTAATTTCTTGATGACATGGTTATTTTATGACATCAGTTCTGCTGTTTCAGATGCACCAGACGTACTGCTTGATTTAAATGTTGTTTTACTATTTCTTGATAATTGTTTCTGTTCTTATAGGGACTTTTTTAACACAATAATTATTACGGAAAAATTATAGTAATCAAATAGTACAATTTTACATAGCAGTCAAATATGGAATTCAGAAACAAGTTTAAAAAAAACTTTTATAAATCCGTCTCTTTTTTATATAACATATTATATTGAATATTTGTCTAACTACATAGCAATTTTTAGGTTGGTTAAACGTTTGAATTATCCAGTACTGCTTTTAAAATATCTAGATGTTGTGGTTTTTTACTTTATTAAAAGAACACGTTATCAAAAAACCAGTGATTAACGACAAGTCAATTGAGCAACTAGAATTTTCTATTTCATTTGTTACAGTTTGTTTTAAAATTTTCAGAAAACAAATTTGGCTAAAAATAATATAAATTCACACACATCGATTTCAGAACAAGGTCAGTATGAAATGATGCACGATGTAAGAAGTAAAAATCCTGACTTAAAACTACTGTTAGCTGTTGGAGGATGGAATCATGGTACTAAACCATTTACCAGTATGGTGGCAAACCAAACAAATATAGATGCATTCGCTACAAATTCAATAAAATTCCTTCGGCAAAATGGTTTTGATGGTCTTGACTTAGATTGGGAATATCCTGCCAACAGAGGGAGCCCTCCAGAGGACAGACAGAGATTTACTTCTCTAGTTAAGGTACACATTATTAATAAATCTTAAAGAAAATGCATTTTCTGTTCATATTTACAAATTGTAATGTTTTATATGAAGATCTACAGAACGGTAAGGGGTTTCTCATTGTTGAAGGCCGTTCGGTTGCCTTCGGTTGCCTGTAATTGCTTACACTCACTTCATTTGAACTTCGGTGGATAGCTGTCTCATTGGCAATCATGCAACATCTCCTTATTTCTATAGGTAAAGGATTTATTATTTTTCTAGTTTAATTGAATATATTTTTTTTGTTCAAAATAAATTGATAGTAAACTATTTCAAATAAGTAAGTATGAGTAATTGATGCTAATACTATTTCAAATAAGTAAATATGAGTAGTTGATGTTAATACTATTTTTTTTTATAGCATGATTAATTGTTCATCAATGTTTGATGAAAAATAAACTTTTTGTAGACATTACGAACAAAATATGACAGTGAATATTTAAGAAATGGTAGTTCTCGTCTGTTGTTAACAGCAGCAGTGGCAGCCAGTAAACCGGAAATACAGACTGCGTACGAAATCAGCAAAATAGCAGGGTAAAATTTTTATTTTTTACATCTAATTATTAATGGTGAAGATTCTTTCATTTTTTTTTTCTTTTGTTAGTTTGAACATATTTTATTTGCAAAATATCGCAAATAGTATTAGACACTAGTTAATTCAACTTAAAAAGTTTTCTTCGAAGATACAATATTAATCAAAAGAATTTCATAATATGCAAACACTGAAGAAGTTTCTACTCTCATATTGGATTTTATTGTTATCTATTACAACATACAGATCACAAATGTGCTTCTCCTGAAGAAAAAAAAAGAACATTGGTTATATCTATCAATTGCTTTTATCAAATGTTTTTTCCAGATATTTGGACTTTATAAATCTAATGGCGTTTGACATGAATAGTGATTTTTATAATGGAACACAATGTAATACTCCACTATATAAATCACAAACTCCATACGAGGCTAATAATGTGGTAAGTAATTATAAACAGTACAAAGTAAAATCACAAAAATAACGAACTCCAAGGAAAATTCAAAATGGAAAGTCCTTCTCAAATGGCAAAATCAAAAGCTCAAAAACATCAAACGAATGGAAAGCAACTGTCATATTCCTGACTTGGTACGGGAGAAATCCGTTTGCACCAAAAATGCGTCCTTTTGCGCCACAACTTTTTTCTCCAATGCTACGTTTGCGCTACCTGTTTTAAAATTACATATTATCATTTGCGCCAAAAATGAAATATACGATTGCGCCAATTAAAAGAAAAATGACTCCCTCCTCCTTTATCCGGGCTTGGGACCGGCAGTGTACACTGGCGGAAATAAAGTCATTTTAAGTCATTTAATAGAATACTTTAAAACATAAAACTATGAACAGTCAGACAACATATATATTATAAAAAAGGCTGGAATTTGTAACTCATTACACAACCAAAGTCTCTGCGGCTGAGTTCTTCTGCATATTTCTCATACTTTTGAACGGCAAATGTTTCCTTTTCTGAAACATGTCTACTTTTTACTGCTGCTGCATGAGTACTTCGCAATTTAATGTATGCAATAGCTTGTAGCTTCACTATATTGTCCAAAACACAAACACTGAAGGATGGGATGCATAAAACAGTTCCTTGTAATTCTTGTGGAATGCCTATGCTCCATTATTGGTACGTCTTGCCGTAGATGGGGTTTCAGCCCATACAGATGGTGGGAACATAGCACTGTCATCAACATATGTGGCTAAAACATATTCACCAAAAGAATCTATTTTCTTCTCTTTTGGCATATCTTGTATTAAATCTTCAGCATTGGAATCAACTACTTCATCTGGGTTCAGAAAGGCTAATCCATTCCTGAATCCATGTGTTGTATACAATTGTTTGCAATACTTCGGACAACACTTAAATGTTCCATCAGCAAATACATCCTCTGCCTGCAAACAAAGAAATTTCAAGTAAGCTTCACAACCAGGAATAACAATGTCACTTCCAATATCATTTGCTAAAACAAACTCTTCTTCCTTATTTGTGATGACTCCAATTTCACTTAAAATTTCATGAAATTCTATAGAATTTTTCGGTTGGGCAGTGTAGTTTTCTCTCTCTGTACATGGACTGTCTAATGCGTTTTAAGTTATTTTTCTCCAGATGTTCCTCTTCATGGTGAAATAGCTCCGAACATATGATCTTAAATGGTCTCTGGGATATATTTTCTGTAGCTTTTCTTTTGCATGCCGTGCGTAGTATTTACCTCTCTTACTTTTGTGGGTCTGTCTCATGTATATGTGCAAGATATCCACTCAAAACAGCTATAAATTGCTCATCAGTATAAGTGGTGACACTGCCTTTTTTGGAAGTAAATCGCCATCTTGTTTCTCCACATTTTTTTTATAAAACCTGACGGAATTTATGGCTATCTAAAACAACAACTGGCTTCCCTCGATTCGATTCTAATTTCTTTATAGTTATATCCATGTTTTCCAAGCAAAGACTTCTCTCAAACTGATTTTTCATTATTCTTCACTGGACACTTTTTATAATTAGTGTTCACCTGTTGATTTATATTCATACCTTTACTATAGTGTAAATCCTATTATTTATACTCACCACCTTTCACCACCAAGAGTAACAATTATTTCACGAATGATACTTTATAAGCCAAAAATAAGAATAAATATATATTAATCATTAATATGTATGATAAATATGTGTACAGGTAAATTGGCGAAAATGAGTTCCGAATATTGGCGCAATTGATACATTTGAAAAACAAGAAGTTTGGTTGTACCCGTAGAAAATTTATTACAAAGCGGATATCACATCCTAATTTGTATGATAATTTTGTCTAGAGAGCCCGTGAATGTTAATACGATGCAAGTTAACTTATTGAACCTTTGAATAAACTTATTATTAAAGGTTATCAGTTTAACACTGATGTTAGATAATTGAATATTTTCTTTTTGGCACTAACATTGATTTTATTATCAATAGTTTAACATTACGAAATGTTACAGTATATTGCTATATAGTTTTGAAAGCTTATGGTCCTTCATCTTTGTCGATACTTATATTTTGACATCACACAAGTTCATGCTTTTCTCATATACTATTTGATATTCTGGTCTGGAAATAATGATGTATTTATTAATTGTGATCGGCTTTTAACTAGCTTTCAATAGCTGCAAATATTCTTACATCGGTTTTTGGAGTCTTTTGTATTTGTTTCTTTTTGTAGTTTGATTTTTGTTCTACGTGCCGATCCTTTTAAACTGATTTTACAGCCTGTTTATTTGTTATGTTGTAACACCAATATCCCAGTCTGGTGAAGGTTTAGTGTAAACATGTTTAGTGTCCTAAGTCAGGAATCTGATGTTCAGTAGTTGTCGTTTGTTGATGTGGTTCATAAGTGTTTCTCGTTTCTCGTTTTTTATATAGATTAGACCGTTGGTTTTCCCGTTTGAAGGTTTTACACTAGTAATTTTTTGGGGCCCTTTATAGCTTACTGTTCGGTTTGAGCCAAGGCTCCGTGTTGAAGACCGTACTGTGATCTATAATGGTTTACTTTTATAAATTTTGACTTGGATGGAGAGTTGTCTCATTGGCACTCATACCACATCTTCTTATATATATTAGCCCTGCACATTCTATGTGTGCCTGTCTCAAATCAGAAGCCTGAAGTGGTAGTCATGGGTTGATGTCTGTCATATTTGTTTATAGTTTATTGTTTATTTATAAATCAGATCATTGGTTTTCTCATTTGAATTGTTTTACATTTTGTCATGTTGGGTCTGTTTATTACTTATTATACGGCATGTGTTTTCCCATTGTTTATTACTTATTATACGGCATGTGTTTTCCCACTGTTTATTACTTATTACATGGCATGTGTTTTCCCACTGTTAATTACTTATTATACGGCATGTGTTTTCCCACTGTTAATTACTTATTATACGGCATGTGTTTTCCCATTGTTTGAAGTCTTTTTGTTGCTCCATTTGTTTTAAACTCTATACTGGATATTACAACGTATTGAGGCTGACATTGTTTGTTTTTAGGATTTTGCTGTTAAAATGTGGTTAAATGGCGGTACTCCGAAAGAAAAACTTGTATTAGGTATGGCAACATATGGAAGGTCTTTTGTATTGAATAATACATCTGAGACAGGATTGGGTGCTCCTACTGATGGCCAGGGTACTGCAGGTTTAACCACAAAAGAAAAGGGATTCTTATCATATTATGAGGTAAGTTTGATATGATAAATAGATATAGGAATTCCAGACAAGTGTCATGGACGCACCAGTATTATTTTCATTTATTTACGTATAAATCACATTTAAAATGTTTTCATCTTTATTTGGAAAGTTGATGCATGATACTTATTCATCAAGCTAACACTTTAAATTTTATCGTTGTCATTTGGTTTCATGTGAATTTATCCTTAACCTTTTATGGTGGCTTACATATGAATTGTGTTCTAACAGTTTTTTCCCGTATGCCGTTGATGGCAGTTTTATCCAGTGCTCACGTTAATCATTATATTTGCATGTCGTATATGTAAGGGTTAACTTGGGTTTGTAGGCTAATTATCCATTAATGTCTTGGACGTCATTGTGTTATCAGTTGTTAAAAGGGAATTTTGTGATTAGTGTTATATTTTTTATGTAGGCTTGCTTTTGTATTGCATTTGAATTCTTCTCGAAACACTAAACGTTGTTGAAAATTCATTATTACTATAAGATGTTTGGTTGTCGAATGAACTTATTCACTATTTCTCGACAACATGGCCGACATAAACACTTACTGCTAAATGACATGTGACTACCAAGAAAAAGCAATCAATAAATTATACTGTTAGAAGAGATCCACAAAATAATGACTTAGATTGTGCTTTTCTACGATATATAGTCTTTTATTTCTTTCCTCGTTTAATTGGTCATCCTGAGTGTTTGTAGCTAGAATATGTAGGCATTTTGTTTTACGATGATGGAAAACGGTAAAGTAGGTGTGTGCTTGTAAAACCCGTTTAAGCTACCCCATTACATTTTGGGCCGATATATAGTTAGAGTATCTGGACCAAGTGTTGGTCATGGTTATATATTTTGCTTGTGTATCTATGTGTAGTCGGGAGAATTGGTTTGTATGGTCTGTTGTACGACTAATTCTTAATGTATTACTTATGATATACAAGATCAGTTCCTTAGAGTGATAATCAAAGAAATATAAACTTGAATTTCGAAAGTAGTTTTTGAGTATTTTATAATAACTTAAGATCTTCTTTATTGAAGAGCTAAGCAATATTCAAAGGCAATTAATAAGATTTATTCATAACGAAGGCCGTACTTTGACCTATAATTGTTTACTTTTTACACATTGTGTCTTGGATGGAGAGTTGTCTCATTGGCACTCATACCACATCTCCTTATTTCTTTTTGGCTAGATCTGCTATGACATAATGTATCAGAATTGGACAGAAGTTTGGCTTGATGAACAGAAAGTACCATATGCCTACCATGATAACCAATGGATCTCCTTCGAAACTCCGAAAAGTATTGCCATTAAAGTAAGTATTTATGCCAGAAAAAGATTACTACAATACCAAACATCTTAATGGGTGTTTTAATTACTTTACTTTTTATTTAACACTGAAATCGGTATAAATGAGGGCTCTGAAATTCCCTTTTTTTTTAAATCGCTTTGCTTCCATCCCATCGCCCATCGTCCTTTAACTTTTACAAAAATCTTAGAACTTATCTGAAAATTTGAACCAAACTCGGTCATAGTCACCAATGGGGTATCTTGTCTTATAAAATGTATCCAATGATCCCGCTTCAAACCAGCATATTCGCGAAGACTTAAAATAGATCAAAATGGTAAATGCGACTATGGTCAATTATCTTGTAAACCGTTATTGGTAGAAAAAAACCTGCCAAGAGCCGAAAGTCGAAGAACAAAATACCGTCTAATTTGACCAGAATTGTCAGATGACTTCCTTTTGGGGTAATTGTACAGGGATGATTTTTTTTGTAATTTTGCTATCTATAATAAACCTCCGTTTTTTGGTGGATTTCGTGTTGCTCAGTCTTTTGTCCTCTATATTGTGTTTTGAAGACTGTTGTATGTCTTATGGTCGGTTTACGTTTGTTTTCCAAAGCGTTGTCAGTTTTTTTTTTTTTGCCCTATCCGTTTTGTTATCCCTTTGTTATCTGCTGCCTCTCCTCTATAATAGATAGAGAGTAACTGTTACTAAAGTTGGGATCAGTTTTAACCTCCCTTCAAATCTGTCATGAACTGTGCTGGGAGCTGTTCTAGTACAGTCTTAAGAACAGTTCTGTTGACATCTTAAAACAGTTTCTGACAGAAGCGTTTTATACCATGAAACCGTTTTATAAAAATAAGAAGATGTTGTATGATCGCCAATGAGATAACACTCCACCAGAGACCAAATGACGTAGAAGTTAGCAACTATAGGTCATCGTACAACTTTCAACAATGAGTAAAACCAATACCGCATTTTATAGCAAGCTATAAAAAAGTCAAATGTAAAACAATTCAAACAAGAAAGCTAACTGCCTGACAAAACTATAAACGAAAAACAAATATGATATTTAGCAACAAACGACAACCACAGAATTACAGTCTCAAAAGCACAAAATACACTTAACACATAAGACATAATGTACAGATCTGAGAGTATTCTCAGTTACTTAAATCTAGTTTAAAGCCAATAACAACTAATAAAAAAATCTTGTAACTAAGACTAAAATATCAATCAGTACACATCCAACATCCAATGGCTTTAGTGTAAAGAGTTCATTAATAATCAGAGAAAAATTTTTTAAAACTGTTTTACCTAGAACAGATACCGACAATTCGAACTTGGAACACATTTTGACAGTTATATCATAGAAGAGTTTTACCAGTATAGTCGTTTAACAAGGATTATCTAAAATTTAAACATAATTTGTTTTTTTTTTCCAAACAGACAAAATATATTATGGACCTAGGTTTAGGAGGAGGTATGATGTGGGCATTAGATCTAGATGACTTCCATGGCGTTTGTGGGCAAGGCAAAAACCCTTTAATTAAAACAATGAAAGATGTTTTCAGTGGAAAACCAGGACTCGATTTTGTACCAACTGTACTACCAGTTGTTGGATAATATCATTAGGTAATTAACTGTTTAGTGTTTTACAAATATAATTTAAAAACCATAAATGTAATAGGTATGCTTGGCTGTAAACTTCAGTTTTATAACAACTAAACATCGAAAGTCCACAAATATAGATTGGCGCAATAGAAAGCCTTTTTGTGACTCGTTCTATCATTTATTGTACATATTTATTCAGTCCAAGCTTGTTAGGAACTATTTGATAATAGAAAATGTTTAACAATGTGTTATACAAAAAATCACACTTTCTCTTAACTAAAAATCTTTCCTATATCCTTTAAGTCAAATGTTAAACATAGCATCGTTTTATGATTTGAACACTACTATGTTGAACATAACTATAAATCATTAAGTGTTATAAAAGAAATATATACCTGCAATAGTAATTCTATTTGATTTTTTTTTTATTGTAGACATGATGTCAATAATACTAGGGAGACACAGATAGTAAATGTGACACTACATTGTAAATAATAAAAATTAACTATTAATCATTTTTTTAAAGATGGACATTTTTGTGATCAATTACTTGCTATATAAGTTTTTAGTGACTGCAATAAAAAGCCAGAACGCACGTGCTGTCGTGCTAAGCAAATCCCAAATCCTATCTCAAATTACCGAAAATTATGAAAAAGGTGTCTGACAGATCCGTAAAGCGTATATACATTACAATTTATCGCTGTTTAGCTCTTTGCCAAATATGGAGTCATCCTGTTTAGTAGTATTTGGGAAATATGTGACCAAAAGTTTAAGATCATTCATCATATTAGAAAATTCAAGGTAATGGCAAACAGGAAGTTGGTATTTGACTGATCCAAAAAATACACCACTGTCAGTCTGCTGACCAAATATAAAGTCATTCTAATCACTAGTTTCTGAGTAAAGTGTGACGAAAATAGTTGTTGGACGAACAGACGGACAAACATACGGACCAGATGATTGCAACAATGAACGAGGAATGTGGTATGATAAGGGCAAAGGCTAACTTTCTGTAGCAGCTTTTTTGATCATATGAATAAATTTAAAATTTTGATAAAGGGTTACTACACAAAGATATCAATCTGTTAAATGGATTTCAATGAGAAATGTTAGGGAGAGGCGATGACCATTATCTTTGTCAACAAAAGGTGAAGTGTTGAAATTTTTATATAACAGTCAATATGACCATCGCGTTTGTTAAAAAGGCCATATTAAGTAGCAGATTTGTAAATGTCTTTTGTCTAACCCTTATTTATAATCCTTGTTACTGGTAAAACTATTATTTCTTTATCATAACCGTACATTTTTTCAGTGCAAATGATAAAAAGTAAAATAACAAAAATGCCGAACTCCTAGGAAAATTCAAAACGAAAGTCCCTTAGCAAATGGCAAACTCAAAAGATCAAACACATACAGACATTTCCTTATGTAGATAATGGTGGATTAAACCTGGTTTTATAGCTAGCGATACCTCTCTCTTGTATGACAGTCGCACAAAATTCCATAATATTGACAACAATGTGTGAGCAAAACAAATAGACATTATATGTAAAAATGTCAAATATTGGGGTACAACAGTCGACATTGTGCTATAATCTTACTCACTATTAAAACAAACAACTATGTTAACAAAGAAAAAATAAAATGAAATGAAGACACTCTATAGACAAAGCACATAAACAAAAATGAAATACAAGAATACAATAAATGGTTATAGCAAATTAACACCATGATGAAAGACAATTACTTACTTAAAACGCAGATATTTGAAATAAAAGAAACAATATAAAAAAAAGCTAATGGTATATCGAACCCCTTGCAATTATGATGATGACCACAGGTGCTCCATAAGGTCGGGAAAATATTGCGGTTTTTGCTTCTTCTTCAGATATAGTTTCAACTTCATGTTATTGAAGACTACGATCTGTTGCATCAGTTAGAAATTGTCTGGAATATTTGGTTATGTGTTTTTCTTATTCTCGTATTTGTTGGCTTGAGGACTAGCGACAAACGACTTTAAGGAATTTAATCAGCCTGGTGTTTATCTTTGATGTAACACTACTGTTATGTGTCCTTTTCCTGATTGTGACATTTTGATATGTTCCAATTGTCGTAAATACAATCCCGTCCCCTTTTCCCTGAATGTGACCTACCGGATTAGAATTATCACCTGGTTTGTACTAACATGAGCAACACAACAGGTGCCACATGTGGAGCAGGATCTGCGTACCCTTCTGAAGCACATGAAATCACCCCCAGTTTTTGATGGGGTTCGTGTTGCTCAGTCTTTGGTTTTCTATGTTATGTTTTATGTACTGTTGTTTGTCTTTTTCTTTTTTAGCCATGGCGTTGTCAGCTGATTTTCGACTTATGAGTTTGAATGTCCCTTTTGTATCCTTCGCCCCTTTTTGACTGAGGGTGAATTTACATGACGAGTGATGCATACATAGCAGAAAACGCTTACCCTGTCGACTCACCCGTCTCGCTCTTTTAGGAGTTCATCGGTTTTTGTTTGTTCCTTTGATTTTTCTCTTTCTAACAGAGTTACGAAATTTGAACATCAGTAAACTACTGTCACTTTAGTTAAAGATATATGTTACATAAATAACGGGCAGCTCGCCTCTGCTCCATTTCTAGTTATATTCTCTTGTATGAGGATCCCATAAACCGCAGATGTGGTCTCACTGTGTACTGATATGCACGTGATTTAATGTTGCTGTTTGATGCTTTTGGGTTTCTCTGCAGGAAGTAAATATATTTGTTCCACTTGATGTGATATTATCGTAGTGATTATTCCATTTAAAATTTGACTCTAAGGTAACACCGAGATATTTTGCTGATTTAATAGGTTCCAAAGTATAGTTATGCAGGATGGTATGATGCCTAAATGAATTGTTTGTCTGTGTAATAGTTAGAACAGCTCATTTGCCAGGATGGAAGGATAATCAGCCTCACATTCAGCAGTGGCATCAATATATGTTTGCAGTTTTGTGCAATGTTGTTTTATACCCCCAGGCACGAAAAACCGTAGCCGTATTTTGCAGATCTTCTGGACATTTTGGTTTTATATGTTTTCAACTACGCATTGGATTTGATCTTCTATTTGATTTGATTCTATCGTCACTGGTTAATCTTGTTTTGACGAAATTGGAGAGGCATACCAAATCTTGGTGTCTTTTATGATTTTTTTTTAAATCACAGGAGAAATTAAGCATTCACGACTCCCGCATTATGTAAATGTTAAAAAACTTACCTAAATATTTTGTTAACGGTATTATCAAAGCTAGACTATGGTAACTAGAGGAATAAAGTAAAATCATAAGTGATTAATAACAGAATCAGTTAATTGTGTAATTAGAAACATTTCTATTTAAACACTGAATATCATTGTATAACGACATCAGACTGCAAACTGTTCTTAACAGCAATTACTTGCACGCGCAAAGTTGTTTACTGTAATGCATATTAATTATGATTTATTGATGAAAATGTCTGAATTTCAATGTGTTTGACTGTCAGACTTGCAAGTATTGTTGTATTCAAACAAATACAACATAATTGGTTGAAAAAACTTAACAAAATATTACAAAAATGAAAATTTAAAAGTAAGAACGCGTTGACATTGCTTTCTTTGATTGTCGATAAATAATATCACTAAACGAAATCTCGATGACAATAGAAGAATCAGACAAATCAAAAGCAACGCCGATGGTGAGTGGCAAAAAAAATCTTAGATTACAGACAGGGAACATGGTGAAACGAAAGCAGTGGGTGACACATATTCTTAGTATTTCATTGGCTTCTGAAGTGGTAAAGGAAACGACTTATTTTTTTTTTATTGTTAATGAAAGAGCCTATATGTCCACTGCACCTGGTTATACATAAAATCTCCTATGGTACAGATTTAAAAAAAAAAAAAAAAGATCTAAGAAAAAAAGATAGAGAATAGAATTTAGCCGTATGATATTAAAATACATCGCCTGAATATCTCGGGTCATAGATGCGACATCTGAAAAGTCTGTTTGTGATTTCGGAAGCAGGAGCAGTTCTCGTTGTCGTCATCTTTTCGTGAACACATATATTGAACTACATTACATAGAAAAGATAAGAACAGGGCCACCGACAAAACAATTATAATAATATATGTGTTGTCTAAATCCTTCTCTGCATCTGAAATGTATAAATGACTCAAATTATTTTTCTATTAATATAAGTATAAGGAGATGTGGTATGATTTCCGATGAGACAACTATACGAATTTTGCTTTTGTGAATTAATCAATCATTTTCGGAAACAGTAAACTGTTGTGAAGATCATAAAATATTAGTTTTAATCACTTATTCTTTTATCAAACACATCAAACGTTGAAAACAACTGTCATATTCCTGACTTGGTACAGGCATTTCCTTTTGAAGAAAATGGTGGATCAAACCTGGTTTTATAGCTAGCTAAACCTCTCACTTGTTTGACAGTCGCATAGAATTCCATTATATTGACAACAATGTGTGAGCAAAACAAACAAACATAATAGGTAAAAATGTCAAAAATGAGGTTCAATAGTCAACATTGTGATATAATCTTAATCACTATAAAAACAAATAACTATGTCAACAAAGAAAAACAAAATGTCATGTAAACACTCTATAGAAAAAGCACATAAGCAAAAATAAAAGACAAAATACAAAAAATGACCATATACAAAGATAAATTAAAAGAACACAATAACATGTTATATACTGAAGGATTTTCGAATAACACGTTTACATTTTCTGACGTCAGACACGCGAAGCAATGAATGTGGGTCTTAATTTGATAGATGCTTTTGTGCTTTTTTTGTAAATAATTGTTTGTTTTGATATTGTAACACAGTGATGACTGCTGTACCCATATTTTGACTATTTTATTTATAATGTCTGTTTTGTTCACGCATCGTTGTAAATATAACGAAATTTGATAAGACTGTCGTACAAGTGAGAGGTTTAGCGCTATAAAACCAGGTTCAATCCACCATTTTCTACATTTGAAAATGCCTGTACCAAGTCAGGAATATGACAGTTGTTGTCCATTCGTTTGATGTGTTTTGTCATTTGATTTTGCCATGTGATTAGGGACTTTCCGATTGAATTTTCCTCGGAGTTCAGTATTTTTGTGATTTTACTTTTTAATAGTTTGTGAGTCATCATCACAAACTTGGTTGGGCTGTATACTGTCCAAGGTTCTCAACAAATCACACATGTCTAATGTCATCTGGCTGTCATATTTCTTCTTCAGTTTGACACTTGTTGCTATATGATACGCAACAGGAGTTGATTTTCCTGCATAACGTCTTTATAACACTATCGAGTTCATTCTATCTACTCTTGTGTTATCGTTCACACATAATACATGTGATCCAATTATATTCAAATTCAATAAATGGAATCAGCTAACGCTTTCAAATAACCTGATGCCGCAAACATTTTAGAACGTTCCTCCTAATAGACTATATTGTTCAGTGTTTCAAGCTGACATGAGCCGGCGTACATGAGTATATACCGTTTTGAATAAATAATTGTCTGACATTCGATTGTGTGTTTTTTGTGGGGGTTTTTTTTGGGAGGCGGTTCAATCTAGCTAATCCTACTGTTTTTATTTTGTACACTGGTTCAATTGTTCAGCTATAAATAAATATCGTATAACACACGCCACAGCTGACTTGTTTTGTTATCTTACAAAAAAAACTGCTTCTAGCTATGTAAACTTATTTTACCAAACTTCGATGACTTTTTTTTTATCAAAATGCGTGGGTCGGATGTAATCTAAATTTTCCGATTAAAGATTTTTATATTTTAATTTATCTAAGCAACACATTTCACCTTGGTTTATCCCTGGTTTGTTTGTTTGTTTGTTTGTTTTCTTGGTATTTTAATGAGTTTTTGTCCTGTCTATCTCCGTTTAAAGTTCGTGTACTCTCTCTCTCTCTCTCTCTCTCTCTCTCTCTCTCTCTCTCTCTCTCTCTCTCTCTCTCTCGTTGTGTGTGTTCAAAACAGATTTACAGAACAGCTATTCATTTTTATCATAACAGTGTATAAAAACCTAGTGAATATCCTTGTGAATCTGGTATCTTAGATGTTGTTGATGATAAAGTAACAGCTGTAAAGTCAGTTTCTGTCAAGGAGATCGATTCTGACTTTGTGGTTAATTCTGGGACTGTTGAATGTGATGTCTCTGTCGATGTCTTCACAGTAGAAAATAGTAAACCAGTTTGCATTGAAGATGTTCCGGATGTTTCTTTTTGATTACTTATTGAAACAGGACTGTAGGTATTTGTAGTTTCTTTCAGTATTTTACTGGAATGTTCTGTAGATGTGTTTGTCGACGGTGTAATCTCTGTAATATCATTTTCTATATGAGTGGAAAGATTTGAAACAGGCATTGAAGGTTGAACGGTTGGCTTACTTGCTAACGTTGTTAATTCGAGTGTATCTGCTGACTCCATATTTGTATGTGACTTATAGCTTGTTGTGTCTGCTGTTTGTCTGCGTGTATTGCTATCAGTAAGGGTATCATAAGTTGTTGATTCTCTCGTTAAGATGGGTTCTTGGGTTGAAGGACTGGTTGGTTTATCACTTTTAATAGATGCTTGAGTTGTTGTAATATCTTTAGTTGAGAATATGTCATTGGAAATACTTTCTGTAGATGTATAAGTGGTTTCTTTATTAATGTCATCAGATTTTTTACTAGTAGTTATATCTTCAGTTGTTGATATTGGTGTTGAAATAGATTCCTGAGAAGAGGCGTTGAACATATTTTTCATTTTACTAGTTAATGGGTAGGTACTATTTCCGCAAATACCATTAAAATCATCAAGATCAATCAATGGCCCATACCATAGCTCCTCCTAAATTGTTTGATATTATGTAGTTTACCTGCAAATACATATAGCCAATACCTTATGTGATATAATATGTTTTAAAGAAATATGTTCATATTGATAAATAAAGGCAACAGTAGTATACCGGTGTTCAAAAGTCATAAATCGATTGAGAAAAAACAAATCCGGGTTACAAACCAAAAAAGAGGAAAACAAAGGAACAACAGGAACACCGAAGTGCAACAAAAACAAACGCCAACACACATAGAAACGAACTATTTGATAACAACTACCATATTCCTGACTTGGTACAGGACATTTTAAGAAAAAATGGTGGGTTGAACCTGGTTTCATCGCTTTATGACAATGTTAAAAAATATCGCTAAAACAGTACGTGACAGAAATACAGCACAAACACACGCAAGAACATTCATAACAGATAAACGCACAAACAAATAATATAATAGTCGACACAACATGCAACAACAACGAACATATTCCATCAACGAAAAATACCACAGGATATCAAAAACAGTGACGCGCTTACGTAACTAACATGCAATCTCGAACTTTATACAATTATTTTCACAATATTCGTCCAAACAATTTTCATGACAATGATGGTATGGAAAGGCAATTTTATAACGATTTGGACTACAAACGATAAGACATAACAGATTATCCAACCGAAACCATAACAGAAACATCAAAATAAATCCATTAATGTTGGCTGTACAAAACACCGAGACACGCCGCACAGCAATGCAAATTCACATTCAGTATAACAGTCATATTCGGGAATACGAATGGGGGGGGGGGGGGTGGGGGGTTGTACTGTTATGATATATTTGAACTTTTGATCATTTTTAGGAGGAGATTAACGACGACGATGTTAGCGACATACACAGCCAATCTTGCTGCCTATGTGACTGTGACAATCATCGAATCACCTATCAATAGTCTCGAGGAACTTGCGAATCATAAAGACATTCGACCCTTTATATTTTCCGGATCAAATCTTCATACCTTGTTTAAGGTACATGTTCACTGTGAAGCATCACCATCGGATATAGGTACCCCGCAGCAAAGACAAAATGATAGCAAAAAGCCCCTATTCTTATCCCCATACAGTAAACAACTATTCGCCACTATTCGCCGTACTATTTGTCCGCGTTATTTACATGAATATCTTAGTAAAAATAATAGTTTATTTCAAAATACAGTGTTGTTCAAGCTTAAATATGATATACCTTTGTTCTTCAAAAACGTAAAATGAATAGTTGAAGGATAAATGTGTTTTAAAAAGTTTGAACTCTTCACATGCTTCGTTGAACAGGTACCCCTTATCCGATTCTGAGGATTTGGCGAGAGAGAAAGCCAATAAAGGATCAGTCCTAAATAGTAGCTACATTATTAGGAATCACTATCACACAACTTTACTTGTCAGCAAAACTTAGAAAATAATGAAAATAAGAAGAATTTGACCTTACCTGAATTAACATTTGTTTTTTTCCCACCGCTTCGGGGTACCTTTATCCGGTGGAAACGAAATTGTACTGAATTTAATTGATATTCAGATTTAAATAGACAAACACTATTTATATAAACTCTTCCGTTTTGTACTGATAATAAGCAACCTACACTACTGAAAATTTGAAAGAATATCTTCAATATTTTTTGTAAATACAGTAATGTAAAAAGGTAATTAAAGCATATACAAAACTAAATCATATCAATTGTAGTCTTTTTATCTATATATATTTCAGTGTTTTTTTTTTATAATTAAACTAATAATTATCAATTGCGTCAATTGCTGTATACATATATATATTTCATTGTGAAACTACCCCTTTACAACGGGGGCAAGCGTCAGCGGGGTACTGACACCTGTGTCATCAAAACATAGTATTTAAAATCAACATTATATGATTGTAGTAAAACATGATACAAGATACTTGCAAATGTTTAAAAGTCTAATAATTACATTAGTGCTAAAATAACATAATACATTGGCTATTTTGTAAAAGTTGATTACAGTAACAAGTTCATATTCATAAATTATTTGAAATCTATATGTCGTCCTTAAAAGACATAAAAACTAAAACCTTGAGACTAAAAACGTTCGCACACAGTTCATGATATTATACATTTGAAATTTTCTCAAGTAAAAAAGAACGTTCATTTATAACGTCTGTAAGAGATTTTATCCCGATCTTATCTAAAGTATTACCTTAGTCTGGAGAATACAAGTAACCCAAACTGTATTTGTGCTAGGGGCGGCAACTCTGAAAAGCAGATATCCATGTTTAAACTATCGAAACATGCTTGTATGTCAGTAATTGTTCTTTTACTGATAGACGAGAAAGAAGGACAATCTACCAAAGACTAATTTCTCATAAACAGTAAAATAATTATATTAAGTATTTAGGATAATTGTACGAATCGGAACTTTTTAATTGTGGATTACTGATGATATTGTTTTATTCTATCGAAATGAATTATCTAACCACGAAAGACTTTCTTAGCTGTATTCTTACATCCACTTCATTTGAACTCTGGTGGATAGCTGTCTCATTGGCATTCATATCACATCTAATGTTTATATCAATATTTGGTATTTATATGTTCACAGACTTCTAAATCGTCGGTATACAGACAGATATGGACTTAAATGTCTGGTATGCCAATAGGTAAAGACATAGATACCACACTGAGCTACGTGCGTACCAATGAGTATGCATTCATGTCGGACTTTTCACAACTGGAATACATCATGTTACAAGATTGTCAGACATACGCCATGGCGGACGAAAAGTTCAACAATGCAGGGTTTGGCTTTGTTCTCGAATAAAACTCAACTTATTTGAATGCATTTAATCTTGCGTAAGTTACCTGTTGTACAAGTTTGTAATTATCATTTTTATTGAAAACTTGACCAAAAAAAAACGAATACTATATCTACTCACAACATTTTTAAACTTGTGAGATTTAAAGCTATTAAGCACTTGTATATTTTGGAAGCCCTTATGCTGATCTCTATATGTCTTCTCGTTATGTTTGTCATTTAGTTGCTGTCTCACTGATGTATATTTCAAATCTTCTTTCATTCATACTATGAGCACTACAAACAAACGTTTCTATGATTCTAATATGTCCATTCATGAAATTAAATCTGCGGTTTAAATTCATTGCAGCGCCATTATTAATGCACTGTTGTTAAAAGCTTCTTCTTTTCTCTCTTTTTGATATAGAATACTGAAGATGAATGAAGCAGTAGTAATTGAAAAATGGTTTAAACAATGGTGGTCTCTGTCTGATGATTGTACAAGTTCAAATAGAACTGGTTCTGCACGGTCGCTTGGATTAGATAGTATCGTTGGCCTTTACTATATATATTTTGGGGTTGTTGGTTTAGCCGTTTTTTATTTCCTCATTTAATTGCTCTGCAGCAGGAAGACAGTCCAACAATGGCTTTCAGTACAAGTAGCGAAACTAAATGCTATTAAGGCAATGCTAACTAACAGGGACTCAGATGTTGTTACATAAGTTAAAAAATGACAAAATGTTTATTTTCCTTTCCTTAAATTGATTTACATAGCATAAATCTGGCGTTTAAATATTTATAATAGCAACAAATTACTATGGTCTGATTGAATAACTGTTACATTCAAAGATTTTACAATTAAAAGCCTTTTCCATCATATCATTGGGTTTTTATATAATGCAACAAGAAGCGACAGAAAAACGACAGTTACGCGTTGAAAACAACAAGTCTGATTCTGACAGAAAGTCAGGATAATCAAGCTGTAGTTTAATATATTAAAAACATCTTTTGTTAAAAAATTGTCTAAAAGAGAGGCAAAAGATACCAAAGGGACATTCACACCCATAATTCGAAAAAAAACTGACAACGCTATGGCAAAAAATGAATATATTTTCATGAAATTTTAATCAATTTACACTAACTATCATCATTTGTTCAATATTGCAGAAGTAGTCTTGATGTTTCAACATAATTTTCAAAAGGAGTGGAAAGCAGTTGACAAATTTTACACTATCAATTCTGTGAAAGAGAGGATGTGACTATCGAAAGTTTTTTCCTGAAATGAAACATCATTTTTAAAATGATGAACCTGTTAAAAAAATCAATCATGCTTTCTCTGTCATAGTAATGCATAAAAGAATACTTGGAATTACCAAAAATATTGAACACTATAAAAGACCACACCAACCAACAAACACCGACTCCTCAGAGTAAGTAGAAATACATAAATAACAGTAAAGGCACATGCTCCAGATAGCCTGAATTAGTACAGTCAGGAAATATGTTTAAGTAAAATCAGAGTAACCACAGATACACTGTTTCATCAATATTTTCAGTCAGCATCCCTAATTATTCTTAAATCATATTTCTTACTATAATTCTTACTTTAAAGCTTCTTTTTATCAATTTTATCATGACTCAAATGGTCATCGTTTGCACTGCCGTTGTTCATTAACATATAAATTACACCTTTGAGGCATTATCCTCTCTGGATTGTACATCATGATATGTACTAGTATGTACATAGCTAACTGAATATGTGTAAGCCCATTATATATGCAATATACCGAGAAGTGCAATAAATAGAAATATTTTTATATATACAATAAGCGCTGTGTCTGATTCCAACGATGCAATTTTGTCAGTGATCAGTTTCACAAAAAATCTGACGACTAAAGTTGATCGTAATTCATGAACAATTCAGTATACTTGCGATCAACTTTAGTCGTGAGATTTTTTGAGAAACTGATCACTGATCCTTAAAATTGTTTTACGATTTCTTGACGGGATTTTCGAAATCCCTAGAAAATGATACATTAACAACATTTTATAATTTTCACCCGATAAAAACACCAAAAAAAAATATAATCATCCCAAGAATCTCTAAATATATCTGCTAAAATTTGATTCAGTTCAGTGGCTGACCAAAATAGTCAACCTTAATTTGAATTCCGCCTGAATTTGCATGAACTATTTCCCTCAGGACGTGCACAAGCAGTTAACAATTTATTTTTCGTCAGCCGCAAAATTTGTTTTATCACCCTAGTAAACAGTTCGTTGTCTAGCCGTTGAATTTCTCTTATTGAGTTTTAACATTTTGTAATGCCGGGACTTTTAAATTAAGCTTGCTACAAGGTATGGAGTTTGCTCATTGTTGAATACCGAACTGTGCTCTATAGTTATTTACACTCTCAATTTGGTCATTAATGAATAGTTGTCTTGTTGGTAATCGTGTCACATATCCTTATTCTTATATTATTTGGTTTTGTTTGCTTATTATTATTATTGAGTTTAAGATTAAAAAAAAAAAAAAAAAAAAAAACACATTTCAAGGCCATAAAAAAGTTGAAATTGAAAGATAATGTCACCCAAGAATGATTTAAAATTATTGGAAAACAAATATCAGGAAATGGATACTATAGCGTGAAGTAAAAACTATGTTGACAGCAACAGTTGGAAGGTAATGAATTGGCTATATTTGTGCTCAGTGTTACTATCGTGTTTTTACAGTTATAAATATTTTGAAAGGAAAGTATTACTTGTACAATCACTGATTGTTATATGATATTTTGATGGTTCGAGTTTGCTTGCGTGCATGGAGAGATAAAGTTTATAATGGAAAAAGTAACATTTTTTGTCGTCTGCTTGACCACAATACCTTTTTTCATCAAATTGAGGATCAGAATATTTTTTTAGGAAAAAACCATAACCCCCATTTCAGTCCTCCTCGTGACTGATGCAAATGAAAAAGAATATTAAACAGTCATCCAAATGCAAGATTCGTCAAGGGCAAGTGCTCAAATGAAATTTTTATGTGTATTGTTAAAATTTGGTGCAAAATTTATCTTGATTTGGAAAAAAATTATGACGATGCAGCATATGGCACATTTTGTCCCAATTCTCTGAGGATAAATCACAAAAAAAATATAATTAAGAAAATGGGATAAATTATCTGGATTTTTCATTTTTTTTTCTTCATTAAAGCATACAGCATTCAGCTTAAAAAACGATATCTTTATTTTCATTATTCATTAACCAAATAAACCGATCCTTGGAAGTCAACTTATCGCAGTTTGCACAATATTCCCTAGCACACAGTAATAGTAGGCTTCTCTCATTACTTTGTGGGTGAAGTGTAATTCAGAAGAAAATGTAATTCATCTTTAACTTCAGAGATTGAATATCTGGGACATGACCTTCGTGTCGAGGATTACCACGCAACTTCCCTTTTTAATCTTGACTGTGTGCTGATGACACACGCAATACTGTATTTTTTTTTATATCAGCACTGAATTTTATATAAATATTTCTGACAGCCAAAGTTACTTTAAAACAGTACATAAGTACATAGTTTACTACCAGCATGCATTTGTAATTCATGTTCCCATTTATAACAAACTTAATATTTACATCTAGGTTTTGCTTGTTCCCTAGGTTTGCAGAAAATGTTATTTTAATACAACATGAAAAGCATCACACCATGAAGGCTTTCTGGTATCAGATAGTTATTTTAATTCTTGAAAAACACTTTCTTGCAGTTGATATATTAACTGATTTTTCTTTAATCGATAATTATGGTTAACCATAGCTTTCACAATATTGAAACACAAAGAAAGTCTACATAATTCTAACATAACAGTATTTTTTGGGGCTTTCGAATGGCTTCAAGAATATATTTTTAAAAATTTGCAAATACAATTTTTCTGCAGGATATTTATTATAGATTTGGTAATGGTCAATAAAATTAACTATAACATGTTAACATCTATATAATTCTATTATTACAGATAAAAACTATTGAAAAATACATAAATGAACTTCAAATTGCAATGCAATGCTTACCTTTTGATCGCGACTATGAATAAAAGAAGATGTCGGGTATACGTCATTGAAACAGCTACCCAACGACACAAATCATCGAATGACGAAAAACATCTAGAGAGCAACATACAGTCTTCAACAGGTGTAGGCAAAATATGTAAAGTTCTAAATCGTCCCGAGTCTGAACGTTGTGAATGAATTTAGTAGAATGAATCAAGGATCTGCCATTAACACCTTATTCTCCAACATGACATAAGACAACTACTCATGAGGTTCCTGGGGCAGTAATGGTTTTCCGAGGGTCAAATCTCATAAATCCATCCAGAAAATGAAACTGAAGGTAAGAAAATAGCTAAACATATAAAAATACTTATAAGTCAAAATGCATAAAAGAAACGAAATATATGCATGAAGATCAATTTTCAGAATTTCCACATGTGTCTAGTTTTTCAAAATTATTTTAATAGACAAATGGGCTGAATTGGCGTTAAACACCAACACTCACTCAAAAAGAGTCGCGAGGAACTAAAATTAATAAAGATATTCGACCGTGAATATTGTTTGAATCAAATCTGCATTCCTTATTCAAAGTACAAATGTAATGGTGTAATGGTGGGTGATAGAGGGACAGTCTGAACAGACTATATTCTTATCTTGGTTGTACTGAATTCTATTTGATTTGTCCTAATCTGTTGTAATTCTGACAGTAATTATTTGTACTCCACATGATGCAGATATTTCCATTTGTCTGATTTCTGTTGCACCCAATCTGGACCATACATGATTATTTTTAGCATTAGCGATCTCGACATCAAGAGTTTCTAGCTACCATGTCGACATAATCTGAAACGTACTCGCTCTAGACTTTCCAGATTAGTACGATTAGTCATGTTTAGTATAGGTAAGATACGAGTGAAAACAAGTGTAAACGTAGTTTACTAAAGTTCAGTTAATTACTGTGACTTGACTGTAAGTGTTGCTCTCCACCTATTGCAACTTATTCAAACTCTGACCAAATTGCAATTTGTTTTAAAAAACCAAACTGTTCAACTGGTCATAAATTTGAACAAACTGCTGTAGATAACCACAGTCAAGTCGTGAAAGTGCAATGTGATAAAATAAAGCATACTTACAAGCCTATAAGACTTAATTCCACTTCAGAGTTATTGTGAATAATCAGTCTTAACAGTTTGTATAGAAATTTTATTGTTGTTGTCATGCTAAAGGTGATAGGTAGTAATTTTGAATTGCTATAAAAATGTCCAAACTAAGCTTTCATACAATTTTTCTTTCGAAAAGTCTTCTATATTCCAAACGGTTGTAGTGTCAATGACTTTGTCAATCCCAATGAAACATCTGTAAAGAACACATCCTTTGATGAAGTAATCGACATGGTGTCATCTCTCGGCAAGGGGGCCAGACTTGGGGTTCAGGACATAAAGTCCGCTTTTCGTCTTTTGCCTATTTCTCCAGGTGATTTCGATTTACTTGGAATATATTTTGAT